CACGGTCGAGCGATACTCCTTCCAAGAGGTCAGTACTTCGATTTCCTGCTCACGGTCGAGCGATACTCCTTCCAAGAGGTCAGTACTTCGAGGTCCTGCTCATAGTCGAGCGATACTCCTTCCAAGAGGTCAGTACTTCGAGGTCCTGCCCACGGTCGAGCGATACTCCTTCCAAGAGGTCAGTACTTCGATTTCCTGCACACGGTCGAGCGATACTCCTTCCAAGAGGTCAGTACTTCGAGGTCCTGCTCACAGTCGAGCGATACTCCTTCCAAGAGGTCAGTACTTCGAGGTCCTGCTCACAGTCGAGCGATACTCCTTCCAAGAGGTCAGTACTTCGATTTCCTGCAAACGGTCGAGCAATACTCCTTCCAAGAGGTCAGTACTTCGAGGTCCTGCTCACGGTCGAGCGATACTCCTTCCAAGAGGTCAGTACCTCGAGGTCCTGCTCACAGTCGAGCGATACTCCTTCCAAGAGGTCAGTACTTCGAGGTCCTGCCCACCGTCGAGCGCTATTCCTTCCAAGAGGTCAGTACTTCGAGGTCCTGCCCACCGTCGAGCAGTACTCCTTCCAAGAGGTCAGTACTTCGATGTGCTGCCCACGGTCGAGCAGTACTCCTTTGCCACGATGGAGCCAAGGCCTCACTCACTTTTCCAATCAGGACGCAGGGAAACAACCGCTTGTTAGAATACTCAAAGTAAGTTGCCTTCCATTGTGGTTTGTGAGGGCAACTAAATGTAAAATTTTGTTTTCTCTCTCGATGGGCTCATACTAGTGCCTAGAAAACAGCGTGGAAGATTGCCCGGCTTTTTTCTTTGAAATTGCCGGTGCGAGTTATATATATTTTTTTAAAGTAACTGGCATTCTGTTGTTGTGTAGTGCGTGGCATTTTTATGTCTTTATTATTTCCTACTAAATCTCTAAAAACAAAAATGGATTCAAACATTGTCAGGTCTACTATAGATCTTGATAAAAGCGTACCTATTGATTCTCAAGTATTTTTGCCAAAATTACAGATGAGAGTTGAGAAATGAATATTGATTTAGTCTTTATGTAATTCATTTATGTTTTCAGTATATTTACTAGTGTGTTTGTGTTTCAAAGTTTGAAGTGAATTTATACTTTTATTTTTAAAGCGGATTAGTTTACTTCAAACTTGCCAAGCAGGCCACTTGTTTTGAGTTGACACATAGATATTAAATATCCACAAATTGAGTTGCAATACATTATTTGAAAGCCGTCAATGTTAGCTTAGACAGGTACACCTTTTGTCGGTTTGATCTATTTTTTTACCTGATAGTTACCAGTGTTATTATAATCACTCGTTGCAGGACAAGTGGCAGGCGATGTGCGACATGACCGTGGCCCGCGCCAGTCCCGCCATCGGAGCTGCCAACAACTTACTCTACGTCATCGGCGGCGACATGTCGAGTGGCCGCGGCACCAGCGACTTCTTCCGTACCCAGGTGACCGGGGCTGGGGTGTGGATGTGGCGTATGGTGGGGCTGGGTGGCATTGTGCTAAGCAATGTCCAGTACTTGACGCTTTTTCCTAAAAGATTGCTAGTGTGCAGATAAACCGTAAGACGGCATGTGCTGTTACCTGAGTCTGTAGGTAGGATTTGGCGCGTGTTTCTGTTAAATGCCCTCCGTTTGTGGTCTTCGTCCCTTAAGCTGCAAGTGGGCTCGTGGCGTGTGTCGTTTAGTTCAATTGAAACCAAGTGAGTAATAATTATGACCATTGCAGGTTACGATACAGTCGGTTGAAGTGTACAACCCGCACTCAAATACCTGGAGCGACCACCCGCCTCTACCTGAGAGTCGCTCCGAAGCAGCAGCTGCGGTCATCTGAGCGTTATGGATACGAGTACAGTTATTAGTGGGGCGTGGATACGAGTGCCGTTATTAGTGGGGCGTGTATACGAGTGCAGTTATTATTGAGGCATGGATACGAGTGCAGTTATTAGTGAGGCATGGATACGAGTGTAGTTATTACTTATTAGTGTGGCGTGGATACGAGTGCAGTTATTGTGAATGGACGTACACACAGGTGGAATGAGAGGAGTGAAGACAAATGTTTTATGTGGGATGGGGAGAAACTGTGGAGCACTTGTTGTGAACAGTCTGTGCTGGAGGCGATTTAAAGTGAGGGAGGTGAGATTAACGAAGTGGGGTAAGAGAGAATAAGCGAAGAGTGGATGGCAATGATTGTGGGTCTGTCTGAGGGAGCAACTGCGGCTTTGTTTGAGAGTGTGAAGAGATATTTGGAGAACGTGTGGAGGATGAGGGAGAGGAGGAGGATGATAAGAGTGGGGTCTTGAGTAGTGGAGAGTTGAGAGAGGGGCGGGTGAGAAGACAAAGGTGAACGTGCCGAATGTTTTAGTACATTGTTTCTGTATTTTAGGATGTTGACATGCATAACGGAATGTTTTAGTATTTTAGGATTGTTGTGAATACGTACTAGGTAATTGAACTTTTTGTTAACTGCAAAGTGCGACGTGAAGTTTTACATTTTTTTTACGCTGGTAAAAGATATTTTATGCAGCATGTAAGACCGATCTAAAGGTCTTGACCGCAGGTCAGCACGCACCCCAATACTAATAAATAGCGAGTATTTCGTGTTTGTTAAACGTTCTCATTTTTCGCCATTCTCCTAACGCAGTTCGTACGTCGGTTGAGGCGAGCTTAATATGCATTTCAGTGATTTCACCTTACGAATTATTTCTTCGACCCACAACTTGTCTTGTGTTCATTACAGTTTAATGAAGAGAGCTTCTATTATTGTTGGATTTACTATATTTACAAATATACTTTCTATAAATATATACTAAGTTGCAATCACCAAAAAGCATTGAATATTTTCGCCTGAATCATAAGATTCAGGTGTGTTCATTACCGGCATCTGTTATGTGTTCTGTTTTAGGAATTTTTTTAGATTTAATTCACCTATTGAACACATTTCTGTTCATTCGAAATGTGCTATCAAATAATTTAATTTATTCGAGCACCACGTCTTAAATATTAAGTTCCTATTCTCGAATAGTCAGAAAACATCTGATCGGAGTTTTCTCGAAGTAACCAAAGAAATGAAGATAATATATAGATTAATATAATTCTTCCATCAATGCCTTGATCTCTGGAATATTTAAACCATCAACGAAGTTTCTGTCTTGGCGAGATACTTAATGTATGAAAGCGCTGTGTTAATGTTTCCCGGAGTCGTTGTTTTGCAGATATTTATTGATGTTTGTGATATTATTAAACAGTGTTGATGTCTTCTTCAGCAACCTAGCTGATCTTGTCGACTCTAGAAGCTGTTTTCAGCTGTGAAATCGAAACTCTTGCTCCGAACACACGGTTTATCAACGAACTCAAGACCGCCCAAACGATCTCTGAACAAACGTCCAGTGCGAGTTTACCTGCCTTCGTTTCCGCTAGTGGCTCTTGAAGACCACCTCACGGAGTAACAACTGCAGACATTTAGCAGAACTGCCGCGGCTCGTCGACGCCTTTCGCCCGTGGTCTGCCACGTGCGTTACCGTGTAATCCAAGTGGCTGTTTAGTACTAATAATTTTAATACATAAATGTTTCACGTATTTATAAAGGTAAACGAATGATTGTTGTGAACGAATTTTATCGATGTGAGGTAGTTAGAAGTATGTGTTATTTTTAGTGTAATTCATTGACATTACATGGACGAGGGCAAGATTTGAAAAAAATATAACTCAGTACTCACTGCAGTGAGTGACAGAGAGCGCATTTTCTCGTCGACGAAAACGTGAAGTTACGGACGGACAAATAGACGGACATGGCGAGCCAATAGCGCTTTTTTTCCACAAATGAGAAAATTCGCTAAAAAGACAAGTTTGTGCAGCCACGAACGTGTGCAGCTGCAGGTCCAGTAGATGTTCGGGTAATAAATTTAGCTGCTTTCACGCTCTTTCGTGTACAATGCAATGTGAGCTCGTGCCCAAATAAGGAAGTGGTCATATATTGACGATTTGTCAGTTTTGTAACTGGTGTTGTCAACTAAAATGATAAATATTGTTGTAGTTGTTTCAGATGTTGAATATATGGTACGGAAAAGTTGCCAGTTTAATTTTCAGTCATGATGCTTACTCAATAATCAACAAAATTATATGGTAAACGCATGGTTGGTATATAGAGCGGGGTATGTCCATGAGCTCCATAGCAACAGATCAAGTAGACTGAGCGAGGAACGTATTCATTAAATGTAATTGTTTGCAATTTTGAGGAAGGAGCACATTGGGTAAACGAACCATATTGAAACTAATTTTTTTAGCTGGATCAGAAAAGTCATGTACACAATGCAGTTTGGAGTATTAGGTATCTAAAATTATGGTGGTCTTAGTTCAGAGTATTTATTAGTTTTTAAAGCTGCGATGAGCGCCAAGTTATTAATAAGAGGATTTCTCGACCGTGACGATCTCTTACCGAGTAATTGTGTGGAACAACAATGATTGAAGATTCATCACTAGTGAATACGTAAATAAATAATTAAAGCATACAATAATGTTAAAATTACTCTTATTCATAATAATGCTTCAAATACTTCGAAAGAAAATTTATACTAGAAAATACAAATATTGCCTCATTAAATGCCATCAACATAAAGAACATAAGAAGACGATCACAAAGTAACGGTCGTTACTCGACAGCACTCACCATAAGGTCGGATATCATAATCTAGACAATGATAGAAATCTGTTACATAAATGATTCTAAAATGGATTATGTTTAGATATACTATAAATAAAATTACTTTTTTATGGAAAATTTAGCCGCCTTTGGCATTGCGAGATCTTACCCAAACAATAATAAACTATACGCAAAGGGTAAGGAACCAAATTTTTATAGTAACATAGGACTTCTATGCGTCAGTAATTTTCACTATTCACACACAAATATAATTTTAAATAACTCTGTAGAAATATATTGATTCCATTTATTCTAAAACTATGCTTGGAAGGTTATCGCATTTTTTTGTAAACCCGATATGCAGCAACACGGAAAAGATTGCCTCAAAATACATTAAAATTAAAATTTGCCTCAATGACAATAAAAGCGTCACAACAAGAAATAAATACATAATACAAGGAAAACATTTTTCAACTAAGCAGCTACTGTTTAATACAAGTTAGCGTTATTTAGAACGCTTTCAAGAATAGATCTAAAGCCTTCACTTGCGTTTTTCCCATACAACTCACGAGTTTGGAGTTTGTTATTACTAGGGTCCGGTCAAGCCAGGAAGTCCGTGGACGAAGATGGTGCAAGTCTGAGTGGGTGCAGTCCAGGCGGAGTGGGGGAGTGCTGGCAGTGGAAGCACAAGTCCGAGTGGGTGCTGTCTAGGCGGAGTGGGGGAGTGCTGGCAGTGGAAGCACAAGTCTGAGTGGGTGCTGTCCAGGAGGAGTGGGGGAGTGCTGGCAGTGGAAGCACAAGTCCGTGTAGGTGCTGTCTAGCGGGTAGATTAGGGAGGTGTGTATGTGTTAAATAAAATTCACTGAGTGAGTGGTTGGGGATATAGAGTTGAGTATTGTGAGGTAGTGCTTGTACGGAGTATTGACTATTTCAAGTGTGATCCTTCTGGAATAAGCAAACGCATGCCTCCAAGTCTTACAAATCGAAAGCACTTCATTTGTGCAAATTACTGTTAAATACACGGAAGAGATAAATAAATTACATAAAGACTATTTCTCAACTCTCATCTCTAATTGCGGCAAAAATACTTGAAAGTCAATAGGTATGCTTTCATCAAGATCTATAGTAGACCTGGCATTGTTTGAATCTAATTTACATACTCAATAGTTGGTCAATCAGATCTAATCACTTTTTTTATTGCGCACAACATCCTACGCAGAGTTTCGTTAAAAAAAAATATTCCGGACAGCACGCATATACAAACACAAGCCGGAAAACGTCTTCCATACGAATACTGAGCCATGAACTGACTGCGATCAGCTCTCAGAAGTAACTTACTTACTGACACGCATTGTTTGAAATTTAAAACGTTTTACTATAGGTTTAGTTTACAACACCTTCAGAAACAGGACCGAATAGACTGCTGAAGAAACGGAACATTTTGCAAACATCCACGGCAGATGCGGCAGTTTTTAGGTGCTACACAGCAACATGTATTCAAGCAAAACCAGCCGATGACTATTCAGTAAAGCCCATCTCTTCGAGATTCAAATAAAGATTGCCATCTCATTGGGATACGTCGTGAGCACGCTGCATGTGGCGCTTTAAGCTATACCTCAGCGTCGAGCTGAACTCGCAGTCCCGCTGGAGGCACTTGAAATTTTTCATCTTCAGATGCACAAGTTCGATGTGATACTTGAGCAAAGTTTTGCCTAGCGCCGCGAAATTACAGCCCTCGAAGTTGCAGGCAAACGGTCGCAACTTCAAGTGAACTCCTTTGATATGGTGACTCAAATTAGTCTTAAGGTTTGAAGCAAACGTGCAGCCTTGGAAGTCGCACTTGAAGGGCTTAAGGCCGAGATGCACGCTGTTGTAATGCGCCCTAACGCTTGCTTGCGTGGCACAAGCCGTGTGACAGCCTTCAAAGGAACATTTGAATGGCTTTACCTTGAGATGAACAGAATTAAAATGCAGCTTCAAGTTGGTCCTCACAGCAGACGCATACTTACAGCCCTCAAAGCTACACTTGAAAGGCTTTACCTTCAAGTGTACGGTGTTCAAGTGGTACTTCAAGTTGGCCCCAACAGCGGAGGCGTACGTACAGCCTGGACGGTAGCACTTAAAGGGGCGAAGTTTGAGGTGTACGTTGTTGATGTGACACTTGAGGCGGGACGTGAAAGCCGAAGAGAAGTCACAGTGCTTGTAGGAACATTTGAGCAATGTTCCATGCACGGGAGTCGAGTCGAGGTGATCCTGAAGCTCCTCTCGAGACTCAGCACAGAACTCGCACTGTGCGCACACTAGCGACTTGTCGTGCTCGTGCGCCGACCGAGAGTGCGCAGTGCATTCGGAGTTTGATGGAAAATCAACATCACATAGCGTGCACTTGTACTTGTTTTCCTTGCTGTGCACGGTCTCGTAGTGACGCCTGAGGTAGCTGAGGCGTGCTGAGGAATACTCGCACTCACTGCACGGGTAAGCTTCGTTGGCACCGGGCGCGGAAAAGAAACACTTTTTGGTGCTGGATGGCTTCTTGCTGTCGTTTATAAGCATGGTTGTGGGCAGGCATTTCGGTTTGTTATTCATGTGCATCTGCATGACGTGAAGGTTCAGGGCCAGTCTGTTGGTGAAGCTTTGGTTACAACTACTGAAGGAACATTTGAATTGGTCGTGACTTGAATGAACGCTGTTGTTGTGGCGTTCCAGATGAGCCTTTCGAGACGCCACAAAACCACAACCGTTGACCGAACACTTGAACGCCTGTACGGACGGTGAGCTCATGTCGCTCCCAGTCAGAAGACACAGCGACAGTCGTGCACACTCGAGTAAGTTCATACCCTCATCTTTGGTTTTTCTTCGACTCGTTGGTAGTTTCAAGTTTCGATTGCTTCTCTTAGGAATTTTTGAGAGTGATTGGACATGCTTAACATAAGGTACCGTGGTGGCAAGCTTGGCTATGTGCAGCAACCTTTGAGTGCTTCCTTTCTTAGGCAGAGCCACTTCTGGACAATTCTTGAGCAATGTGTGCGTGGTGCTGGCCACTTCTGACGTCTCCACCTTTCCCCCCACAGCGTTGCCGCTCTGTCAATAATTCAATTCTCTGTCATCATAATAATAATTTCAATAATAATAAATTGGATGTCACCTACGACATCCAATGCAGTGAGAAGAATATGGTAACGCGTCGGTAACATCAAGTTCACTTCGAAATCAGCAGAATTTTGTCAAGAATACCTTTGTTCACAAACCAATGTCAGGTCACAAGAGACACTCAAATCATCTACCACTCCCAGCATCTGCTGGCCTTCACTGACGATGTAATGATAACCGCAGCTCACCTGTACGCCGGGGCCGTCGAGCGGCTCCTCCTTGACGCAGACGTCGTCGGTGACGCCGTGCGGCTCCGTCTTAACGTAGATCGTCTCCGTGGCCACGTCCGTCCCGCCCGCGCCCGACATCGTCACTGCAGCACAACCAGCAGTGCGGCCTGTCATGGCGGGGGTGGCGTTATGGCACGCGCTGTTTACTGTCAGCATGTGACGTCACCTCAGTTACGTAATGTAACCTGACAGTAACGTACATGTGACGATACAAGGAGACGATAACCCCACGTCACGAGACAATAACGTCACGTCAGGAGACAATAACGTCACGTCAGGAGACAATAACCCCACGTCAGGAGACAATAACGTCACGTCAGGAGACAATAACCCCACTTCAGGAGACAATAACCCCACGTCAGGAGACAATAACCCCGTGTCAGGAGACAATAACCCCGCGTCAGGAGACAATAACCCCACGTCAGGAGACAATAACCCCACGTCAGGAGACAATAACACCACGTCAGGAGACAATAACCCCGCGTCAGGAGACAATAACCCCACGTCAGGAGACAATAACCCCACGTCAGGAGACAATAACCCCACGTCC